AAGAAGAAGAAGAAGAGATGGCTGCCAATGAGTTCATGGGAGAACTTGATATCCCAACAATTCCAGCATCTCCTTCAAGCATTTTGCTGCCCACTGTAGCTCGAAATTATGAGCTTAAATCTTCTCATCTTAATATGCTGCCTTCCTTTTATGGTTTACCTAATGAAGATCCATTAACTCATATAAAGGATATTTTTAATGTTGTGAGTTCTTTTCCCTTGACAGGTGTGACAGAAGATCAACTTCGAATGAGAGTGTTTCCATACACTTTGAAGGATAAGGCGAAATATTGGTTGAATTCTTTGAAGCCTGGTTCACTCACTACATGGTTCACTCACCCAAGAGCAGCAACGAGAAGATGCTAATGCTTGGAGGGCTAACATGGCTTTAGATATGTGGTGAAATGCTATTTAGGATGACATGAAGCTACATCAAATTGCCTATTTAAAAGATTGGAAAAACTGTATTGGCATTTACTTTTCTTTATTAAAATTACCATTTCTTTGTTATCTTAAACCAATTGACTTTCGTGCATCATTGAAGTAGACTGCCATTGCTCATCATCCGACTAAGTTGGTTGGTTAGCATCATAAAAATAAAAAATCCATATGGTCCTTTCAAATCTTATAAATTCTTATGATATAAATCTTTTAAAATCTAAACGTAAAAAATCCTGATTATAAAAATCTTTTTAAAAAATCTTTTAAGTCATTACATTCTTGAATAGTCTTTTAAAATTAACTGGACTTATTTATCCATAAATAGTCTTTTAAAATCTCAATTGAATACACCCCTCTAAACCCACCGTTTCACTAAAGGAGGCTAATCACAAAACGGTGTGTTCGTTTATAAGGGCACCGAGACAAGCCAGACATCGTCTTCTTTGTCAGGCACACCGTGCCTCCTCTGCAACTCCAACTCAGAAAACTCTTCACAAGAAAGGTGCTGCTATGCCTTCTTCACTGAGGTATTTCATCGAGCAAGTGGTGGGGGTATTCTTGCCCAGCCACCAATTGGTGAGTGTAGGCCATGGCTGGTTGGGCAACTAGTTAGAGATAGAGTTCTTTTTATTATTATTTTGGCTTGGCTAACACATTTACTTATTTGTTTTTATGGAAAATTTAACCGCCCTTGCCTCCCCTATCCCTACCAAACTCTGGTGCGTTCGGTCTCTGTTTCGTGGAACAAAGCCATCACAGACTCAGAGACAAGCTGGGACTTTCATCGAGCAACTGGTCTGCACACAAGGGGTCGCTCCGCAGCTGTCCAAGGGGTCGTTACCCCTCTTGTCCCAATGTGCGTCCGCCCACCACCCAACAACTCTAACGCATCTTCCCAAGATGACACAACAATTGCGGGTCTGAAAGGCCGACGCAGCTCTGAGACAATTCAAGCGGGTCTGACCCTCCTCTACCACCGGCTTGCGCCATCGAGACTATCCAACTCCACAATACAGAGGAGTAGGACCAGCGAGTTTTCAGAGCAAGTTGAAGAACACGTGCGTGGTTTTTTTTTTTTCCTTCTTTTAACTTGTTACCCAAAACAACCGGTTCCCATTATTTTTTAAAAACATCACATGCCTGCCATGTGAGTGGTTGTATCAGTACAACCGATGCACACATAAGTTCTCCAATATCCAAGCAGTCGTTCTGGCTCGTGAGTAGAGGTGTCAAACGGGACGGGCCGGCCCAGCACAACACGAGCCCAGCCCATTTAAATGAGGCACGGCACGGCACGAGCACGAATATTAATGGGCCGTGCTCGGCATGGTATGAAAACTTGGGCCGGGCAGGGATCAAGAAATAGGTCCAATGGATCGGGCAGGCCCATGGCCTGACATGGGCCGAGCTTGGCCCGAGCCTGCTTCAAGCACGGCACAAGCCCAAGCACGGCCCATTTAGCATTTTGTTTTCTTCTCAAAAAGTCAAAATGCAATAATTTGACATCTAATGTTATTGTTTATATGTTTAAAAAAAAAAAAATCATAAACATATATTCGATGTCTTTCATTTTAGGGAAATTACTTGGGTCCTTAGTTAATTAAACATATCAATTACAAATTAATTAAACAACATTGGACTTGATATCTAATTAATACATATGACATATACGCTTCTCCTATAATCAAAGCAAAACATTTCTTCACATATAAAATAATAATTTGTTTAAAGATGAAAAGTTCAAGTGGACTTTGTGGAGTTGAACACTTTTTGCCCTCCGCCCCTTAATATTGTTTAGATGTTTTATTGATTAATGTTTTAAAATAGTTCATAATTTCTTGCCTCTAATTATATTTTTAATGTTTATAATTTGAATTATCTAGTGGTAAAAAAAAAATCAAGCGAAAAAAATTCAAATTAAATGGGTTGGTTCTTGGGCCCGAGTATGGCACAAGCACGAGCACGGGCACGGCACGAGCCCGGCCCGGCCCGTTTGAATATGGACATGGGCTTTGAGCCGGACCGGAATCAATGATTTTATTAAATGGGCTGGCACGGCACGGCTCGATAAATTAAATGGACCGGCCTGGCACGGCACGAAAATATTAAAAACACGAGTTTAATAATCCCAGAAGTAAAGCTGTTTCATTCAATGGACATGAACATAATCCCAGAAGAATGGAAATCTCTCTTCCCAATTTCCTCAGTCTTCAAGCCTCCCCTCCTCCTTTCAAACCCTTCTCTAAAACCCATCCTGGGTCCTCTGATCTTCAACCCTAAACCCAACTCCACAACCCTCCTTTTCTCTTCTTCCTCTTCTCTTCTTCCCCCTCTCCCTCCTTTACCTCATCTCTCTCTCCCTCGTTTTCTCCTCACTTCTCCCCCTGACTCTGCCCCTCTTCCCTCCTCCGTTCCCTCCGTAGCCTCCTTCTTGGGCCCCCACCACCCCAAAAGCGACGTCTCCTCGTCTCTCCTCTACAACCGTCTTGAATTCCTTCAGTGCCCGCAGATTAACACCGTCGTTGTATTCTTCCCCACCGGTGAAAACTCTGACCAAGTTGGGTTCTTGCAGTTGGTGTTAAAAGGTTCGACCTTTGATGTCAAAGTGGATGAAAACGGAGGGGTTTTCGCTTCCAGGCGGTGGTTTAGTTATCGGATTTCGAGGATTTCGGTGAACCCGATTCCTGGGTTTTCGAGTTTAAGAGGTAATGGTTCTTGTGTGACAATTGGGTATTTATTGTCTTCTACTACGTACTTTGTGCATTGGTTTATTGTAAAGGTCGGAGATTTTGGTCCAAATTCAGATAGTAGGGTTAGTTTAGTTCATTTGGGTAGTAAGATTTTCAAGACTTGCTGTGTTGTACATGCTTGTTGGAGTCCTCATTTATTGGAAGAGAGTGTGGTCTTGTTAGAGAATGGTGATTTATTCTTGTTTGATTTGGACTCTCGTCTAAAAACCCCCCACACTTTGAATGCAAATTTTAAATTTAATGGGACCAGATTGAAAGTGCCCTGGGATATTGATGATGGTTCGGGTAGTTCACGAAATTATAGGTGGTTGAGTTGTGAGTTCAGTTGGCACCCTAGAGTTTTGATAGTTGCACGTTCAGATGCAGTTTTCTTAGTTGATTTGAGGGCCCATGAGTGTAATGTTAGTTGTTTGATGAAACTTGAGATGTTGCATATGTATGCCTCCATTGAAAAGGAGCAGTTCCTTGTGCTTTCGAAGGCAGGTTCTGATGATTTTCACTTTGTTTTGGCTTCTGACACTTTGTTAGTTGTTTGTGATGTGCGCAAGCCATTGATGCCGATGTTGCAATGGGCTCATGGCCTTGATAAACCAAGCTATGTTGATGTTTTAAGACTGTCAGAGTTGAGGTCACAGTCGAGGGATGACAAATTTAATTGGGCTTCTGACTCGGGTTTTTGCATTATAGTGGGGTCGTTTTGGAATTGTGAGTTTAATATCTTTTGCTATGGACCTTCCCTCCCAGCTCCGATAGGATCAGTAGCTTCGAAAATAGCAGAACTTCGGAAATCCTTCTATGCATGGGAGCTTCCTTCAGATCTTTTATTGTCAGGCCATGAGTGCCATTGTGGAAGCTATCTTGTAAAAGAAGAGTTTTCAAAAGACGCTCTTCCTGAATGGATTGATTGGCAGCAGAAGAAAGAAATTGTTTTGGGCTTCGGCATTGTAAACAAAGATCTGTCTGCTCTGCTTTCTGAGCCAGATGAATTTGGTGGTTTTACATTGATATTTTTTTTTTTGGTCGAAAGTGGTTTTACACTGATAAGGCTTATGTACTCAGGTAAGCTTGAATTACAGAGATATTGTGCGTCGTTTGATTCTGTATAAAAGGCAGAAGAATCACATAGAGAACATTTGCTTTTTAAGGATTATTTGATGTACTCCCTAGTTGATGAGGAATACAAATTTCCTAGGAGATTTAAGTACCTTAAACTTGACTACCTCTGTGGTTATCTGAATGGTAATCTTGATGAAGTCTTAGATGACAAAATAAAAATTCCCTATAATGATCAAGGGAAGGAACTTTTTAGCTCAGAGTTTCATGAAACTTTATGCAAAAAGTTACATGCTTGTGGTTTTGGTAAGTTTAGATCATCTCCTGCAGTTACAAGTGTTTTAAATGACATTAGCTTGCCCGCAAGCATACACGAGGTTGTTTTGAAGAGATTGTGGTCAGACTTGCCCATTGAGCTTCTGCAACTGGCCTTTTCTAACAACTCTGAAATCCTTGAAGTGCTTGTGGACAAAAATAGGGTGGCTTTGGAATTCTCTGTAGTACCAGACCTATCTCAGTTGCCTCCTTTCATTTTAAGGAAGTCTTCATGCCGCAGTAATAAGTGGTCACAGAAAGTGCAACCTGGTGATGCCCTTGTGGGTCCAGTTCTTCCTCTTCCTGTTTTGCTTGCACTTCATGAATATCGCAATGGATGTCCGAATTCAGATGAAAATTCAGGTAGATTTTCAGTAGAGGCAGAAATCAATCGCAGCTGTGATGAGGTCATGCAGGTCACCGGTGAACTGGCTGTTTCTATTTCTGAGGCTGAGATTGTCGATAATCCAGTGACGTCCCTTGCTAATGATGGAGACGAGACATGGAGAAGCTCTCAAAAGTCAAAACCTTTCTTTTCATATCAGCCAGTTGCGGCTAAAGGATCTCCACTGGATCATACACAGGGCAAATCTGTTTATAAGGATGACAGGTTTGACACCTTAATTTCTAAAGTGTCTGATAAGAAGCATGTATCCAACGACAATCAGGATAATGTCGGACTAGAACTATTTGATGATCTTTGCCCTGTAGAGTTGAGATTTGATGCTTGTTCCTTGAAGTTTGAACAGAAGGAATTGGAGGCGTATTGTAAATTGAAGGGGGAATTCTTAAAATGGCAAAAGAGCTTTGACTTGTATCAAGAATTCTGCTCTCGGATTGAATCAAAAAGCTCATAAATGTTTCTTTAATTCTTTTTTCCATGTTCCTGCAAATTTTTCACCACTGAGTTAAACCCCTCCCTTCTGTACTTGTTTTCCCTGTAATTAATTTTGATTTATTTAGATTATAGATTAATAGGAAAAGTTCCTGTGTATATGACAGGATCATAATGAAAACAGCCACAGCTACCCAGACAAATCGTTTTATACAGTAAGGCGCAAAATGTTTGGTATTTCGTACGGAGAACTCTTCCTCTTGATCGGAGCTACAGCTGCTCTAGTCGGTATACGCCCAATCTCTCTCTCTCTCTCTCTATACACCCAATCTCTCTCTCTCTCTCTCTCTCTCTCTCTCTCTCTCTCTCTCTCTATTTGTGTTTATCTCAAAAGAAAAATGCTCTCTCAATATTTTTCTGACTTCTGTCGCATGGGATGGAACCTAAATGTTTGGGTACCCATGTGAGAGAGTTGGGCTGTTATAGCTGTAGCATTTTCGTTGTCAGCATTGGTTCAGAATTTTTCATTGCCAAGGTCAAACATTGGGTAATTTTATTGGAAATATTGACTGAAAAAGTGAACTGTGTTTGATGTTTAATGGGTTGTAAATTGTAGGACCAAAGGATTTGCCTAGAATTGCTAGAACAGCAGGGAGGTTAGCAGGTCGGTCAATTGGGTATGTTCAGTTAGCTAGAGGCCAATTCGATAATGTTATGCAGCAGTCTCAAGCCCGCCAGGTACATTTTCTAATTACTTAATTAATGATAGTTTGATAATTATCATTCTATCATCAATTCTTTGTGAGCTAACATGCATTGTGCACAATCGGGTAATGATTAGAATTTCAATGTCCTTGAACCAAATGATTTATCTGTTCATTTATGTCCCTTGCTTGACCTTTAGGTTCATAAAGAACTTCAAGATGCATTCGCACAACTAGAGTCGATTCGTTATGAAGTCCGGAGTATATCACTTATGAATCCTGGTCCTATGGCTCGAAGGCTGATGGATAATCCTCAAGATCCGGCTTCTCTGAGTGATGGTAGTATTCTTAATAGCCATACATTGCTGGCAAGTAATGTTTTGCTTCTCTCCTAACTACCAGTTTATATGTATTCTTAGGGGCCAACAGTTCACTTGAGAAGCCTAAGGAGAAGCTGAAGTCAAGAAATACTGTGGAGAAGGTTTGAATAATACTTTTCTTCATATAAATGGCCCACGTTGCATCATCTTGAATTCCTTATACATATCTTTCACAGGATGATACTTTCAGAACCTCAGACTCACTTAATTTGCATAGTCAAGCAACTGCGTATGCAAAGTTGGCTGAATCTGATGCTGTGAAGACTGGCTCTTTGAAGAGCAGTGCAGGGCAAGAAAACCTTAAAGATGAAAGTGGTCTTTTTATTGTCCTCCCAATTTCAGCTGAAAGCACTGGGATGCTACCAAATCGCAAAGGTTATAATCTTCTGAGTTACGACAATTAATGATGTTATCATTTAGTTTACTTTGTTGTCTCAATTTGGGAACTCTGCTGGGAGCTGCCAGGAATGGACATTTCCTTTTCATTATCTTAAGGAACAACAAATATTTAAATTTTCTCTAGTACACTACTTAATTCTGTGTATTGCCCTCATTATCTTTGATTATAGAGGTCATGAATGCGTTTGCTGCACATATATTATGGTTTTCATATCAATGTTGTCTTTACTAGCCATTTTTTACATGTACCTTTGTATAATTGGTCAACAAAGGTGTCGCTCATGCTCTTAGTCTAGTTTTGTATGATTTCCCCTATATAATTGGTTTCTATTGAAGGTAACTGTATCTGGATTGTTGAGGCCTCACTTGGTGGGCTATTGGCTTAAACATGTCATAGGAATACTCTTGAAATAATGTTTGGAAATACAATCCTTGATTGCATAGGTATCAAAACTCTTCCACGTTATTAAATTATTTCTATAAACCTATGTTCATTGTTCCAATGTATAACTGAACATGCCACAACTTTTCCAGAGAATTCACAAATAGTTTTGCTTTTCATCTTAGATATATATGTCCAAATAAATAACCAGTGGTTGTGATGGCAGAGAATGTTAAGGGATCAGACATTGTGTTGGAAGCAATAGTTGAAGCAGAGGTAGCACGTAATGCCAAAGATTTCTTTTCACAGCCTGAAAATCAAATACAGTGAACTGAAAAGGTGACGATACTTTTATTTATTTATTTACAATCTTCATCACTCTGTTTATAATTGGGTATGTTTAGTGTTAAATAACAAATACATAAGTGAAGAAGGTTTATGTTAGGGGAACTTTTTGTTTTGTTGATGATAAAATCGAACAAGGTTTATGTTACTACTCGAAGATGTAAAACTACCGGAGATCCTTAAGATCTTTTTTTTTTTCTTGCATTGGGACTAATGAGAATTGTTACATAGAAAGCAGTTTATTGTGATGGACAAATTTTGTTCACATTTTTAAATGGTTGGTGTATTAATATGTGGGGATGTTTAGGGTGTAGGGTGTAAGGGCAGGAGAATATGTCTGAGCCAATTTGTTTTTGGTTATGCATATCAACACATGCTAGTTTTACAATGCTAGCTCAATTGCTGGCATTATTTGCTGGTGAAAATGCAACATGATTGGCTTCAATTGCCCTTAGGTGGTGTTTGATTCAAAGGAATTAACTGCAATGGAATGCAATCATTGCTATTGAAAGCTCCATTACAATGTTCGTTTTGGCAATATGACTCTTGAAAGCCCATTCCTATAACTGTTGGTGGACCATTTCCAAAATAAAATGGGTGGAAAGCCCGTTCGAACATGACGCCCATTGGATGCCAACACCTCAAGCTCCCTTCCATGGTTTTCACTTCTCGGTCTCTCACCTCAAGCTCAACCGGTTCACTTTCATGGGTTCCCATTTGTATTTTGAAGACCAGATCAACAGGATTCTTTCACCAACAGACTCTGAAACCAGTCTACAGAATGATATTAGTTTCTAGATTTTAGTCTATAATTCTTGTTCTGTTGCAGATAAGTCTTTGATCAAGCATATATAATATATATCATCCCTGTAAAGAACACCAATATCATATTGAGTTATTAATGCAATCTACAAATTTGCCATTCCTTTGTAGAAATAATGAAGGTATTATAAACTGTAATGTGATATGATTTGTCACATTTTATGGCTGTGATCTGTTTCTGAATGCCTTATATATTATTCCTTGGATTTTTCAGAGGTAAAAATGCCCAAGTTCATTTGCTTTTGCTGTCAAGATTTAGAGGTCAAAATGTCCACCCACGTTGTCCGTACCTCTCTAACCTCTCTCCTCCCATTTTCTTAAGTTCACATTTGCCCCTTCCAACGATAGACTTAAGACCAAAGTGACAAATCGAATGTTTGAGGATGTAAAATTTAGCTAAAATAAAGCGGGAATGCAGTAATAATTCAAAGTTCATAATTGCACTACATTTTACTCATATTTAAATAATGGTTAATTACACTTTCTACCATTCTGATTTCGATCCTTTAACAGTTTAATCCCTCATTTAAAATAAAAAATAAAAAATTGATAACGGCAAACTTAAATTTACAAATTGTAGTCAAAGTTACACATTAACTTTTCTTACATAAAAACCAAATTGACAACGGCAACCTTAACTTTTCTTCTATCTTACTATAAAGTCACACGTTATTCCAGTGAGTCCAAGTTTTTCTTACATTACATAAAAACCAAGTTAATGTCAGATGAATTAAAATATGCCATATCGACAATAAGTAAGAATACTTTTCAAAGGCCAATGGGGTATAACTCAGTTGGTTAAGCTCTTCCACTTCCACCCATGTGAGCATAGACCCCAGCATGGACGGACCTGGGAATTGAAAATAGGGTGGACTAAATTTATCTTACGTACAAACTTAGAAAACTTGACGGTACAAGTGAATTTCGTTGAAGTATGAATTTTAAGGTCAATTAGCAATTACATGATAAACTTCTCTGTGAAAGGAAAAGAATGAAAGCATTTATTATCCATTACAAAAGAAGAAGAAAAAAATTGAACCATTTTAATCCATATAAGCCAACTTGGAAAATAAAAATGAGAAAAAGTAGCCAAAATTTATAAGAAAAAAATGAATTGATGTTTTATTTTCACTAGAAAAGCTTAAGGTTTTTTTTTTTTTTTTTTTGACAAAAAAAAGTAAAGGATGTCCTCTACGAATGTGTGTTTTATGAAAAAGGGTGAGTAATAAATATTAATTAACTAAACAAAAAAAAAAGATTTTCTGTGGGTGGGATGGGGTGTGTGGAGGTGTGCTTTGTTGGGTTGAGTATTAATATTGAACTATAAAATATGAAGTCGCTCAGGCTATAGCCCATGTTAGCATGGACGTAGGTCCGTCCTTGGATCCCAGGCACTTAATGAATATTTGTCCAAATCCCTCTTCCTCAATGGCTTGTACTAAAAAAAAAATTCTTTTAAATAAACCATATCTTTTGTGTATATAGAGTAGGGATGGGCATTCATACCAGAAAATCGGAAAATCGAGCTGAATTGGGCTAAAAACAACTGGGTTGACCAAAAATCAAATTGAGTTGACTAAAAATGGGACCAAACCAGTTTTGTTTGGTTCCAATTCTGGTTCTTATAGTGAAAAAAAGGGGACCGGATGTGTATTTTTAATAAAATATTTAACCCTAGTACTAAATTTCTAAACCCATAACTAATCTTTCTCCAAGCCCAACACCAAATCACCTCTCTTTTCTAGGCCCAACACCTCCCTTTGTATAAAATTGGGCTATTTGGGACTTTTTTGTTAGAATCAGAACAAATGAATAGTGTTGGTTTCAATTTAGGGTGAGAACCGGAGCAAAAAATTGTTCTGCCATATGTCACTTCAGAAATAGAAGTTACGGACAGACAATGATCTCTAGTTTGTAGTTTTAAATGATTTTGTGCTTTTTTTTTGTGAGAAAATTTTGTTCAATTTTTCCAAGACAATGACATTGTTAGAGGAGAGGAGGCACTAAACTACAAGAGTGCAAAATGCCATCTAGGCTTAAAGTTAGGGCCATTCACTATTATACCCAATATAGGGACCCAAATTATAAAAAAACTCTATATGAAATGAAATTTAGAAACACACCCAAACTCCATTCACAACATAACAAAGAGGCTTTTAACTTCTTATAAATTACAAAACTGTCATTGATTTCTTAAAACAAGCCTAACCCCAAAATCTCATGAACAAAGCCCAAAACACTTAATAGGGTATCAAAGTAATTTAATAATCAAAATTAAATTTAATAGGGCCAACTGTCAATTTTGGGGTTTTTTTTTGGGTTTATTTATAGAAATTAAATGGTGTAGGATTTATCTATATCATTAGTGCTAAGAATGAGTATATAACTAAATATCTCATATTATAAACCTTCAAAGAACATATGCAAAAAAAGCTTCCTACATTGCTCACAAAAAGGATTCCATTTTCTGCACATATACATAATAAAGTGTAAAAACCAAACATGGTAAAGGAGCCAATAAGGTGCCTTGCTTGAGTTGTGATTTATAATTCAAAATTTTCAGTCACATCATTCAAAGAACAAATGCAAACGCATCCCAATTTGCAAAGGGAACTTAACTGTCATCGAAGTTTATATACGTGATTAACAAATCAATCCAATAGGGTTGATAACCCAAATGGAGACCCCATTGGGTTTACGATACTATGAGGCATTTAATTTAAGTGTAGGCGTATGTGTAGCTTTTTGAGAGAGAGAGAGTGAGAGAGGTTATGAACAGATGCACCCTAAACCCGCGAGTTTATATAATATAACCAATTTTCACTCAAGGACATATGGGATCTCAATTACAGCTATAGACAGGGTCTAATTATGAAATTGGATCCCATAATCTTCTGCCATAATCAAATCAACCAAAGTAGGTAATGGCATGCATGTGTATAGGGAGACCAACTGGTCAATACCAAGTAACATTGATTCAATCCGCTCACCCTAGTGGTAGACTGTGATGTCTCTATGGGTTTTGTCATGGTCTCTAAATCATTGACTTTCAAATACTAGAAAAAAAAAAAAAAAACCATATCGGAGAGCCTTCGGCGATTGGATCATGCTCAAAGTGTGATTGGCAACCAAAAACCCCACCGAAGGAACCCTCGGTCCTTCGTAGGAGGGCCCTTATGAAATTGTCGGCATCTGCCACCCAAGAACCTACAGATTACGCGCCTCGAACGAAAGACCCTCGGTCATCCTTGGAATGTTGGTCACTTGAAGTACTATTTCAAGTAAAGGTGTTTGCCTTCAGCATCATTAAACTACAGATTTATGTAAAGCCCTTGCCATCGTCAACTGGCTCACGTGTAATGTGCCTTGAGCATCCATGTTGAATGAAAGGCCCAAAGGGTGTATTTTGAAACAAACATAGGTCACGTCCACATACCAACGATATTGAACCTTTAGCATGATGCAAACAATCTTCAGAAAGAGATACGTTCAAAATAATTGTCATAAACCAAAGGCTGAACGACCCTTTACTTGCACAAAATAAAATGTCATGCAACATAATTGTTAAAAAAAAACAAACAGTTGTTATATTACAAATACAAAAATCTTCAACATCACTATCTTCGGCTGCCTCATCATCATCCTCTTTATCTTCTTCAATCTCTTTCGGGATCATGTCTTCGGTCACATCCTTAGAGAGAGGATGAGGATTCTTGATGTAGTGGAGGTCTAGCTCTTTGCCGTAGTTGTATCGCCTTACGTGCCACAACAACTTACAGCCCAGCTTCTCAACCTTAATATCAATTTCCTCATTTAAAGTTGGCAAGAGCCTCCTCGGCCCCAGGCTTTTTTGCCTCCTGAAGCTCCTCCTCTTTCGCCAGCTACACAGCCTTCAAGGTCTCTTCGACAAACACCCTAGCAGCTTCAACAATGCCCGCCAGCCAATTTACAGCCTCGACCTTCGCCCAAAGCTCTACCAATTTGGCCTCGGCCTCTTTCAAACTCCGCTTGGCATCTTCTTTGCCCTTCACCAACTTGTGGTGCTCCCTCATGGCCTGCCCACCTTTGGTGATATGAGCTTTGGCTTTAGCTGCTTTCTTGGTTGCTTGGTTATGAGCATGAGCAACCTTTCACGTCGTCACTTACAGATCCATGGAGCTCTGCAAAGAAAATCATAAGGCATTAGACAATCGACACAAACAAAAGAGTGACAAAATAAGGGCAACATACGACGGGATGCAGAAGGAATCTCTTTTCCAGCTCATTGGGAAAACGTGAAGGCTGAACGGGTATCAAATTGACAAAATTGAAACCTTGGGGCCCATATTAATATGCATCCTAAATCTCGATGGTGTGAAATGTCATTAGTCCTTTATTTTATTCAATTTTCCCTTTGTTGCCTACATCCAATTTAAAGCCTTTTGTTCCAAAAATCAACTAGCCTCTTATTTATAACTATTAATTTCTTTGTAGATAATATGTCTCTTCTAACTGGCCATTTCGAGAAAAATACTTGCAATATTGTCTCAATAACAGTATTAGTGATGTGTTGAGGCCCTTTGAATCCCACAATGCAGCTATCCAATCATCCAGAGGACCTGTAGGTTTGAATTGTACTCATTATGAAGGTGAAAATGTCGATTACTTCGAATACAAAGAACCATATAGACTGAAGCATAGACTGATGTGGATGTCCCAACCTTTTGTGCCAAGTAGAAAGAGAGGCCTTGCACACCAAATAAGCAGTAGGTGTAGCAGAAGGAAGAGTAGAGGAAGCTTTGACAGAGGAGGAACAGTAGATAGGATAGAGACCATTCTCAATAGGGCCCTGACATAACATCCGTTGTGAAATGTTGTCCTTGATGAAGAAACCATATTCATCAAGAGTTAGTGAGCAATGATTGTCATGCACAAATTGAAAGACAGAGAGCAAGTTAAGGGCAACATTAGGAACATGCAACACATTTTGCAGATTAAAGGAAGCACGAGGAGTATAGCAGATCCAACATGATGAATTTGCAAAGATTTACCATCACCAATATGCAAAGACTCTGAACCTTGATAAGGAGAATGAATGGAAAGATGGCCAAGATCAGAAGT